AAGAAAAGAAGAAAAAGAAAAATTAGAGAAGACATATATTGCCACTGGAAATAAATTTACTGTTTGATATTATGTACAAGAAACTGTGCTAAATGCTTTACACACATCATCTCATGAAATCTATTCATCAACTATGAAGGGCCGTCCCCTGATAGCACTATTTTTTCCCTTACATCCCATTTCCTCAAGTCCTAGGAGTTGAGGTATGTATTTTATTTGTACCTCATGGCTACTCCCAACCCATTTCCCCTTCAAAAACTTCCATATCCTTTTACATTTACCATTACTACCTTTTACCGATGTCATCTACTGACCACACCCTATCCAAAATCTAAGGCTGGAAAAGAAAAAAGAAAGTAAGTCCGATGCCAAAATAATAAATGATTGGGAGAAGGGTGAAACCTCCAAATGAGCCCAAGAGGGGATATGTGAGCAGAGGACTCAGTGAAGTGAAAGAGCGAACCATGGAAATACCTGCAGGAAGAGGAAACAGCAAGCACAAAAGCATTCGGACAAAAAAGAGCTGGTTTGCTTAAAGGAAAACAAGGCAGTGCAGATGCAGCAGACAGACAAAAGAGTAGAATGGTAGGAGTCAGGCATATTGGCCTTAGAAAAGGCTTTCAGTTTTAAGTGTAATGGGAAGAAAGCCAGTGGAGCATTTTAAGCAGAAGAGTAATAATGCAATCTAATACTTTAAAAAGGTCATTCCAGCTGCTATATGAAGAAGAGATTATAAGAGAGAATATACAGCAAGATCAGTTAGGAATTATCTGAAGTGATCCAGGTGAGAATGATCTAAGAGGTGGCTTTGACTGGGGTGTGACACTTGAAGGCAACAAGAGGTCATTTTTTTTTCTTTAAGAGGGAGATATTACCTATTGGAACAAACTGGTAAAAGAGGAAAAACTGGTAATGCAGCACAGTGAGAGAGGATAATCCAGAAGCAAGGTCTTTGAATTGGCAAGAGGAGGAAGGGCCCAGTGCACCACACAGAAGGGTTGTCCTAAGGAGTCAGAACAGTTCATCCATTTTTAAAAGGGGAAGGCAAAATATATGACAGTGGAATAACGTATTGCAAGGGGGTTGGAGAATGGGCAAATACTTAAATGAGCAGGTTTTCTATGACTTCTGTAACAAATTCCCACTAATTCAGTGGTAAATTACCACTAACAACACAAATTTATAATCTTATAGGTCTGTGGATCAGAAGTCCAAAATGTGTCTTACTGGGCAAAAATGAAGGTGTCAGCAGATCTGTGTTCATTCTGGAGGCTCTAGGGGAAAATTTGTCTTCTTCGATTTTCTAGCTTCTAGAGGCTGCCCACATTCCTGGGCTCACGGCCCCCTTCCTCCATATTTGAAGCCATCAAAGGGGAATCACGACTTTTTCATGCTGCCATCTCTTTGGTTCTCTCTTCTGCCTCTTTCTTCCACTTATAAGAACTCTTTTGATTACTTTGGGCCTACCTGAATAATCCAGGATAATTTCCTCATCTCAAGGTCAATGTATTAGCAACTGTAATTTCATCTGCAACCTTAATACCCCTTTACCATGTAACCTAACACATTCAGCAGATTCCAAGGATTAGAACAGACATCCTGGGGGTAGAGGGAAGGGACATATTCTGCCTACCAGATAGACGTAAATTTGGGGATGGAAAGACTGCTTTATATTTGTTGAGAACAGAAAAAAGTTCTTGAGCTGAGAATAAGAAAAAAAAACAAACCACGAAACGGTCTTTTCTGGAAATGAGAATAACCTGTCAAAAGAATATGGCAAGACAGTGCTATGGGTCCACTTGAGTTTTAACTGAGAAAAATAAGTGAGGTTTTGTGGTTTTCCCTGGCCAAGTAAGTTACTGGAATAGGTATCTTTTTATGTGGAGGCAGAACAGAAGACTGAAATTTAAATAGTGTTAAGGTGGGGGTGTGGTGGGGAGGAAGCAGATGGGCAGAAAATACAATATATATGCAAGGGAGTGGTTACAGTGAAGGACCACAGAAAGAAGTGACGATTGGGGGGTAGGGGAGGGAGGGATAAAACCATGAAGAACTGTAGGGTAACTGAACTGTAAGTCACAAAGTGGTCAGAGAAACAGCTGAGGTGGACTACTAAGCGAGTTGTGAAGAGAAGATGGATATTAAACTGAGATGTTTATATCCGCAATGTTAGAGGTGATGAAGTTTTTTATAATGACAAGGTTTAAGGCATGACCATGATAGTGGGTGGCTTTGAGTGAGAGAATGGAGATAAAGATTCCCAGAGGAAGAAAGTGAAGAAAAGAAGAGGCCATGGATCATCTATGACTGGAAGTTCAAGTCATTGAGAATGATGTGGCTAAAGTATGATGGAAAGACAGTGAAACTGGTGTTAAAACAATGAAGAAGAATGATCAAAAGGAAAGACACTGGAACAATAACAAGCAGTGGTGATATAACTTGGTAGCATTTTTTCCCCAAGAGCTCAAACTGTAAGGAAGAAGGAAAATTGGAAAGGGCAGTGGGAAATAAAAAGGACATCAAGATCTCCTACGTGCCTTCTAGTAACAAAGTGTAAGAGAAAAAAAAAATCCCCACTTGAGGTGGTTATTGGGAAAGTAGTAAGCTCAAAGGATAATGAGGTTTCAGTAACAATATCTTTCAGAAGAAAACAGGAACTTTCAGAGAAAAGGTTGAGAAAATAATAAATTTTGCCGACCGTGAGCTCCAGAAAGTACAGCAAAGGGGTTTGAAGAAAGGGTTGGGAGTGAGTCACAGTAGTAGGGAACCCAGATCAAATCAGCCTATGCACAAATCCATGAATCCAGATGACAAGAGATGACATGGGAAGTCCGAACTTCTTGGGAAAAATGAGGTAAACAGATGAAAGGCATGACTAAATTAGTCTTAATGCTTTTTGAGGTGATAAGTTAAAAAAAAAAAAAACAAACACCTCGTTCTCACTATTGTCTCCTTATTGAGACTAGTTTCTTAGCCACAGCAACTTACATGCAGTTCCCCGTCCTCGACACACATAATTTCTTCAACTTTCTCCTTATTCAGGATAGATTCCAGGGTCCAGCATTATAATTTCCCTTTGCAAAAACCCTTAAATCATTCACACCCTCTTCCTCTGCACCTGCTCCTGACTGTTGCTGAAGAAAAAACCGTAACATCCCATCTAGCCTAACTTTAAATTCATAAACACACATTCCAAATGGGTACTCAACACTGTTCGGCCACCCTACATTTCCACAGCATGTTTGCTTTTCCCACTTTCCAAAATGACTATTTCAAACCTTCTACTTTCTCCTTAACTCTTCCACCATAGCTAATGACCTCGGTTCTTATTTCACCAAGAAAAATACAAAGAATACACAGGACCTCCTTAACTTCCTACAACAAAATTGGCCAATCTGTCGGCAACCAGACACACACCTTTTGCATTCCTTCTCATCCTTGCTCCTGTCAAAGACCAATCCCTCCACCATGTCTGCTCTTGACCCTCTCAGCTCTTATCTTCTCAATGACTTTAGTTCCTTACCCATTCTCCTTCAAGACTACTTTTCCTTTTCTCCTGTCATTCCTATGATATAATATAATCCATCCTTTTTTAAAAAAATTTTTTTTTTTTAAATCTACTGCAGAACAAAAGTTTTTCACAAGTATTATTCCCAGATGTTGTAACCACTTCTGTTTGCTTTTATCTCCTCCAGTAGAGCTCCTTTCCTCAACTTCCACTAAGGCTGCTCTTGTCAAGGGCAGCTTCTATCTACAGCATGTTGACAAATCCAGTGGTCACTTTTAACTTTTTACTTATTTGACCTCTCTGAAGCATTACATAACATACTACGTTCTCTTGGCTTCTAGGGGGTCAGCGCCCTTGTTTTCATCCTACCTTGGTCTCTTTTGCTGGTTCCTCCTCCTCTAATCACCAAATACTGTATTTGATGGTAATAAAAATCAGTACTGGTTCCCAAATCATCTTCATCTATATGTGTTCCAAAAGTAACCTTAACTATTCTTACAGCTTTAAAAACAATTTCTAGGCCTGCTAACGATGACTCCTAAATCTTTACCTGCAGTCCCGAATTCTTCCCAAACTCCAAATTTTGTACCTGTCTACTTATCATTCTCATTTAAATGTCTAAAATGCTTCTTAAACTTAACATAGTCTAAGAGACCTCTTGATTTTCCTCCCTAAATATCTCCTCCTAAGTTTTCCCACCTCATGAACCAACAACACAATTGTCTACCCTGTTAGCTATTCATGCCAAATATCTTGAAGCCATCTCTAATTCATTTTTCTCTTAAAGCTCACAACCAATCTATGAGTAATTCATAATACACGAATGTATAACAGCTAACAACAACAACAAAAAGCTAATTCTGCTAAGCCCAAATCCAAATATATCCAAAATCTAATAACTTTTCACCACCTCCATGTTACCACTCTAATACAAGTCATTATTATGGCTCAATTGGACACTAAAACAAAACAACAAACCAAACCAAACAAAAGCAAAAATAAAAAGCCAAAAAACTGTGCTGGATCATTTTACCATTTAGATCCTCAGAGAGGCCTTTCCTTGACTATCTAATCTAAAACAGCCACCCAGTTACTCATGTTATTTGAATTCTCTATATTGTATTTGTCACTAACTTTGATATTTTTTCATGTTTACTCATTACCTCAGCATTATTCCTATCTACACCTATTACACAGCCGTAAGTTCAAGAATACACTAACCATGAAAGCTTAAATCAAGAGATACATTATTAAATTAATAAATCCCCATTTACATACTGTAATTTAAAGGAGTTACCTCATCTAAGGACATGCCAACTACATGATAAATACTGAATTCGAAATCAGGTCTAGATATTAGTTCTTAATTGATGTGCATATAGTCCCTCTTTGCTACTGCTATTCACATACCACTTTTCTCCTGTTCATCTTTTCCACTCATATATGAGCATTACACTCTTTGCTATAAATTACCAGGTTCCTTAATCCTTTCTTTTAATTCTTTCACTTTCGGTATCAAAGTAAACATGTGTGGGCTTGAGAACATTATTTATTTCACACATCTGAAAAGGTTTACAAAGAGGAGTTGGGTGCTACATGACAACAATCTCATACCCCTCACTACAAGCAAAGTTAGCTATAGAAATTTTACTTTTAAATAAAATTTTATGTAAAAAGCATTCATAATTATATTCTATAGTAATTATGATTTATTAAATTTACAGAAAGATAAAATTTCTGAAGTAATGAAACGAGCAGTTACTACAAAATAATTTTCCATTTCAAGATATGCAAGGACGCCTACCAGAAAATGCCATTAAACTGACACGAAAAACAAAACTTTGATGGGTCATTCTGAACTCAAGTGCCTTCAAGAAGATTGATATTAGGCTCTCACCTCATACAAGCGGGGGAAAAAGCATATATAAGCAAACACTCAAAAAGAGAATTCAAATAAGAAGGAATGAAAGTAGAAAATAGAAGGCTCCAATCATATGCTCTAGATTTCCTGATACTCTGATTCATAATCCTATTCTTTAACTAAAATTCAAATTTTCAAATGATGCGACATAAACATTAGGTTTGTATAAAACCATATAAGACGCAGTTTAGAAAATCCATTCCCCTAAATCAAATCCAATTAATCAGAATGCCTGAAAGACAGGTTCATAGAAAGCTTTTGATTAGTCAAAATCCAATAAGAAATATCTTCAGAATAGTCTGTTCCACAGTCTCAGAGTAGAAACTACAGCAAAACTACCCAAATCCCAGTGACTTTACCAAAGAAAGTATCTGCACTTTCTACTTACCAGTCCTAAAATAACTCACAACTGAATCTCTAGTAATCCCTGGAACTTTGCAGGTGGAAAACAGCATTCGGAATTGATTCATATCTAGAGGAATATTCCCAACTTTATCAACAGGCAATTTTTCTCTATTAATAAAAAGACAAACAAAAAAGTATTCTGATCAAGAAGTAATTTTATAACATAAACTACAGTCACAACTGTAGTATTCATCCCCATATAATTAAGCTTCTCAATTTTTTGCCACCTGAGACTTAGTAATAAAATCTCTTATTACTAAATTCACATAAGTATTCTTACTTTCTTAACAGCTGCCAGAAGCTCAAGTTATACCAAAGACTTATACTTCCTCTTTCCAATTGAGTGCCTTCCTTTGGAGGCCAGTAGTGTTCCATGTGGGACGCAGGACCCGCAAAGTTGACATTCAGTTGTGATGGTATACGAACATCCAGGTAGGCAACATTCAGCCACCACTCTTCCAGCTAAAATAAAGAACATCAGTCTAAAGGTACTGATAATACATGAATGTGTAACAGCTAACAACGACAACAAAAAAGCTACTGTATATTCTTTTTAATTCTCTCTTTTCTTTCCTTTGTAACTATAGAATCTTAAATACTATTCAGTTTAACTGCATTATCAGAAACATAAAACAGGAAAGCACCTTCAGACAGATCACACTGAAGTCACAAGTACCCAATAAAGTACTCAGGTGTGTTTTCTCAAAGTGCCCGAGATACAACAGATATACAATAAATCCTCACTTAATTAAAACAATTATTAAGGGATTTACAATTTTCCTTTTCCAGGCAAAAACTAAAATACTAAATCAGGAATGTAAAAATTTTTCAGTAGGCTTAAAACTATGGGTTTTTCAAAGACACTGCTTTCTATGTTCCTCTTTCACAATGTGCACTTGAATTTCATACATAAGCAGATCTCATCAAATTACCTGGAGTTCTTTTTGAAGAAACTGACATTATAATCAGTCGTTCAGAAAAAGATATAAATGAAAAGGATAGAGGCAGAACAACTTCTTTACCTTTACTCTAATTTAGTTAAAATCACTCAAGACTCAAGACTGAGAAGAAATTTGTTAGCATAAAACTTTATTATTCCATATAGGTATCAATGGCTGATGAAAAGATCAGCTTGCTTTTTATTTCTAAAACTAAAAGATAGTTACAATCATTATTTCTAGACTAAAGTAATGATTTTTAATTATAAAAACCCATCCTCTGGTTCATACTACAGAAGAAATTTAGCTGAAGAAGCCAAAGAAGATTCTTTGTGGATACTGAATCCTTAATAATTATTATACCAACATTTCCTCAATATAACTGAAACACAGAATACTCATAACCATTCTCCATTCCAATTTTGTAAAAGCCCTCTTTCTCGTAGGTACTGTTTTTTTTTTCCCTACGTACTGTTCAAATATTTGTTGGCCACCGATGTGACATGTTTATTTTAGTAGTATTTTAGGGTTTTTTAGGCTATGATTACCTGGACAAAATGTTTTTCTCAAGCATGAGAACCGGCAGCAGAACCTCATGGAAATTCAATGTGATACTGAATCATTCCAGAGATGATGAATCACAATCACTGTTCCCAGGAAATCTGCATTTTAATGTTTCCCATATGATAAAAAAAGAAGCCCACCCACAACACTCAAAACTCCCAGAGTTAAGTGATCCATTAATTCTTTTGGATGATGATTATGACAACAATGACTGCAAGGATTTTTACAGAAATAGTTTAAAAATGAAAGCTATATACATTTTTCTTTTTTTATTCTTTAAGCATCATCAATTTTCTAAGTATAATAACATAAATACCCAATTTCTTTTTCCTTTTGCCCTTTCAAGTAATTTCTGGTGCAATTTTTTTCCAATTCCATTTTGAAATTTTTGGACAATTTCTTCAGTTTTCTTATATTCTTCTTCATTTGCAAATGGCTTTACTATAAAGAAAAAATATGCATTAAAGTACTTAGACATGAAGTACTACAAATTCACCTCAATTATTACACAACTCTTAACCCAGTTATATAAAGCAATTATGTATCAATTCTCACAGCAGTCCAATAAATTAGAATTTACAACATAAAAAGAGCTAAAAAGCAACAATACAAAATACTGTAAAAAATAAAACTGAAATTATGCAATCAAATAACCATATTCTTAAAAATTCTTTTAAAATCATTCTTGATGATGAGAGTTAAAATGACAAAGACAGGACTACTGTGTAGCTATTAGTGCAATAGAAAAGTCCCATTTAGCCATGAATAAGAGAAATTAAAACTTCTTTCCACTAATGTTCAAGCAGAGGCTTGAACATTCTGTATATAAATGCAATATGTATGTAAATGTAAATGTAAAGTTTGCTCACTGCAGTTTTGGGTGTCTTGTGGTAAACAATGGTTTCCTTCAGGAAAAAATAAAAATATAAATAAATAAGTAAGTAAGTAAATAAATAAATAAATAAAATAAGGAAAAAGGATACAGGATTCCTAGTCTATCAAAGCCAGTGCTCTGAAAATTAAGCTACCAATGGAAGTAAATTTTAGAAATCTAGGGACATTTACATTTTCCTTTTTTATTTTCCCTCTTCAAAGTATTATATTAAAGTCAATTTAAATATCTGTATTCATAAAGAGTGCAAGTGAATAATTAAAAAGAGTGCATAATCAGTGAATTTTTTTAAAGATACCAGAACTCCCAGATGAAAGTAGATGAGGAAAGAGAAAAAGAATTTCAAAAATTGGAGTGTTTCCATTTAAAAAAGTAAACGAAATACATACATTTACCTCTACTACTTCTAGAAACTCACTAAAATGAAAGTAATTAAAAATGCATAATCCTTAAAGACAAAGAAAATGAAAAAAGAGGGGACAGCAGACAACTTAAGCTAACATTTTACAAATTAGAAAACACAAGAGAAAATGGCAATTGACTTTGTAAAATGGAGAAACTATCTAAAGCCTGGAGAGCAGAAGGTAGTAAGAGATAGAGTTAGCTGCAAACCAAGAAGCAAGTCAATTCCTGCGGTATAATCCCAGAAATATTCAAGAATTCAAGACACATGGACTTCCAAAGGCAGCAGAAAGAGGCTAAAAACGGGAGGAGTGTTTGAAAGTCTTTAGAAGCAACAGACAACTACTCCATCCACACTTGCCCCTTAGATCTCCTTTCCCACTCCATAAAGCCAGACAACTTCCACCTGATGCCAGTAGAAAGTGAAGGTTTACTCTCAGGAGATGAACTTTACAAGCAGAATATTTGGATTCTAGCCCATATTAAAAAAAGAGAGATTACAATGAAAGTGTACACCTAAAACAATGCCTCTTCCAGTCTCCTTCCCCTAACTAAGTTCCCAAAAGACTAGCGGTCAGGCTTATGTCTTCTAAACAAATAATGAGAGGATTCTTCTTTAGGGAAACTGATCGGTCCAAGAGAAAAAGAGTACTGGTATTTGGGCATGCTCTAACTAGACTGCTAGTTCTCTGCCCAATTACCCCACAAGGCTCATTGTAAGGCCCACTAGTCGCCAAGCTCTGGCCACGCACACAGGGATCTCAATCAGCTTTTTAGGATCTGACTCAAATATGAATGTCCAAGGAGTGCCAAATTTTTAAGGACGGCCTGTCACATGAGAGCCAGAGAGCAGAACAAAGGATTGGTGATATCAAACAGTAAATAAGACCGAAAAGAGAAAGGCACTAATAATGAACATACAGCCCAATCTTCAAGAAAGGAGATACCAAGGAATGTAGTAACTATAAGACCATCATTCTAATTTTCCACACAAGGAAAGGGATGCTCAAGGTGATGCAACAAAGATTTCTACATTATGTGGAGCAAGAAACGTCAGGTGTTGAAGCTGAAGTCAGAAAAGGAAGAAGTACTTGAAACCTAATTACAAGCATTCATTAGATACTGCAGTGCTCCAAAGAATTTCAAAGGAAGGTTAGTCTATGTTTTATAGACGACAGTAAAGCCTTTGACTACATCATTCATGAAAAGCTACTGGTTTCTCTGAAATAAATGGGCATGCCTCAGCATTTGACTGTCCTGATGTGTAACCTGCTTTGTGGACAGGAAGCCACTGTCAAGACAGAATATGGAGAGACAAGATGGTATCCTATAGACAAAGGTGTCAGACAAGGATACATTTTATCTCCCTATTTATTTAACCTGTACACAGAACTTATCATATGAAAAACTGGGCTACACACAGAGGAAGGAGGATTAAAAACTGGTGGAAGAAATATCAATAACTTATGATATGCAGAGTGACATCTTCTTACTGGCAGAAAGTTGCAATGATCTCTCACAACTTCTAATGAAAGTGAAAGAAGAATGTGCCATAGCAGGACTGCATTTGAACATTAAAAAGACAAAAATCGTAACTACTAAAGAATACACAATTTTAACACATAATGAAGACATCAAAAGTGTTGAAGATTTTGCTTACTTTGATTCAGTCATCAATTCAAATAGACTGCAGCCAGAAAATCAAGAAAAGTCTGAGACTTAGAAAGGCAGCAAGGGAAGAATTAGGAAAGATTACCAAGAGCAAAGATGTGTTATTAGAGACCAAGGCCAAGATTATCTACATTCTCATACTTACAATAACTATGTACAATGGCAAAAGCTGTGCAGTGAAAAAGGCTGATAGGAAAGAAACTGAAACATGGTGTTGGAGGAGAGCTCTATGGATACCCTGGACCACCAGAAAGACTAACAAGTGGGTCCTACAGCAAGTTAAGCCCAAAATATCACTGGAGGCAAAAAGGACAAAATTGAAGGTGTCCTACCTCAGGCATATCATGAGAAGCCAGGGTTCTTTGGAAAAGACAATAATGTTAAGTAGAATAGAAGAGAGCAGGAAAAAAGGAAGACCAAGCATGAGGTGGACTGACTCCACAAAAGAAGCCAAAAGCATGAGTCTACAGGAGCTGAGCAGGGCTGTTGAGGACAGGACGTTGTTGACCTCACTCATTCATAGTGTTGCCAGGAGTCAGAGCCAACTCAACAGAAATTAACACACTAATAAAGAAAGGGAAACATTTGTAAATTAAAAGCTTATCTCAGAAGGACCTGGATCTAAGTAATAGGAGTTCCAAAAAGACAGAACAAAGAAGGGAGGAAAAAAGTATCAAAGAACCAGTATTTTTAAATTTTCGTAGAACTGAAGAATACGACATTTTAAACTAAAAGAACTCACTGGGTGTTCAGAGGAATAAATGAAAATAGCTACACACTAAAAGACATCATGGAGAAATTCACAATGGTCGGGATAAAGAAAAATGTTGCCAAACACATCCATAGAGTAAAAAACAACAGGTCACATGTAAAGGACTAAACATCAGAACAGCATCAGACTTCTCAAGAAGAACAAATAGTGCCTTCAAAACTCTTAAGAAATATCATTTCCAACCCATAATTCTATACTCAGCCAAACAATCAAGTATGAAGGCAGAATAAATACATTTTTAGGTCTTACATTCTTTTCTTTCTGGATACCCTTTCTCAAGTGGCTACTGAAGATTTATTCCCAAATATGGAAAGAGGAAGAGGAAAAAAGAGGAAGAGAGAATCCAGGAACCAGGGAATCCAACATAGAAGAGAGATGTGAAGGGAATTGTCAGGATGATGGCTAAAGGAAAACCCCAGGGTAAGAGCTGTCCTGTTGGTTCGAGAAAAATGAATGCTGACTGGAGCAAGAGAGTAGAGAGCCCCCAGAGAGATGCCTCCAAAAAGAAATGAAACTGAGTGAATATCTTATATATTTAAATACCGTCAGGAATTTTCAGTGTATTGAAGTGTTTGAGACTGAATTAGTTATGAATTCAAGGCAAACTAAGCAAATGAAAAATGAAGGGAAAAAAATGCATCAAAAAGGTAAATAAAATGCTGAATGGTTCTCTTGTGAACAACTGCAAAACCATAAACCCTAATGGTAAGGTAAATTAATTCAGATAAAAACTGATTTAAATCAGGGGGAACTCTAAATTAAATCAAGTAAACACTAATTTAATTCCAAATGGTGATTTGTACAACTATATTTATAGAATGAGAGGGAAAATATGGGTATGTTGGATTGCATATATGTTGGCGGGGAGGTTAGGGGGGGTGTAAGTGAGCTAAATCCACAAATATTTAGGAACTAATTTATAATATCAATAACTAAAAAAAAAAAAAAATCTAAGAAATAATAGCACAAGAAGTTTAAATACTTTAAACCTGGAGATAAACAACATAAGAAACTGATAAAATATTTGAAAATGCTTGCTTGGGTGAGTGAGATTTGCAGGGGTAGGGGGAAGAGGCAGAGAACTACTACTTTTTACAATAAGCCTAACAGTAATATCTGGTTTTTTAAACTATGGAAAAATTAACACGAGAGAAAGAAATTTTTAGATATTTTAAGGATACTTAATCATGAGCCTAGAGGAAAAAAGGAATTAAATTCTCATCAACTTCTAATAATTTCATAGTTTTCTAAATTGATAACAATAGTTATACTAAAAGATTACAAATGTACCTGATTCAAGGTATTTCTTTAATGATTCTTCAAGTGAAGGAACAGGCAGTGATGGAAGAGAGTCCTGGTACTGAAATGTTCGTTCTTCTACTGACTTAGCCAATTGATTCTCCATGATGTAATCACAACAGGAAAAACTAAAGAAAAAAGACAGCCCTCACAACTTCAATCTCATATTCTTATATATGCTAGTTACAATTCATTAAATCAATATTTAGGGGCTACACTATATTCAGGACTTAGTCCGGGTCCTTAATAAATTTCTAAACTTGTCAGAAAGAAAACCAATTTAAAACCTGTAGACTCTGAGGAGAAGCAGGGTTTGCCACCCCAAAATATGCTTTTGTGATATTATTTTAAACTAGTTATTTTTTAAGAAACAAAAGATTCAGGAAAAACCTGTGACCTTCCCTTTAACTGCCTAAAATAATTTAGATAAAGGACCTGTACCAGGAAGTTATCATAGATAACTATAATTTAACATGAACTGAGTGTGACAGACAGGAAGGAATCTAGTAAGGCATTTGATCAAAGACCTCTCCATGTCTTATTAAAGATGGCCCAGCAAATATTTACCAAACATTTGCTTTTCCATCTCCATGTGAATTGCCTTCTTTCCCTCTAAAGTCCCAAACTACAACCCCCACTTCTCCTTTGTTCAAGATGGCATATAAACCTTACCTGCCAGATTTGTCCTCAAATCTCATATTCTTACAAAACCTCTGTACGTACAAATGTAATAAATTTGGTTATTTTCTCCTGTTAATCTGTCTCATGTCAATTTGATTATTAGACCAACCAGAATTTAGAAGAGCAGAAGGAAAATTTTTCCTCCCCCGCAACTCAAAGTACTAGAAGTCAAGGAGTGATCAGTTGCTAGTATAATTAACATTTATTGAGCACCTATTATTTGCCAAGTACTGCAGTAGGTATTAAGAAAATGTGTTATCTGCCTAATCTTCATATTATTTCATAAAGGTGGCATTCGCCATCATTTTACATATGAAGAAACCAATACTCAGTGAGATTTAGTTTTGTGTAAGATCGAACCAACAACTCAAACCCAGATCTGTCTGACACAATCTTCCCTCTATACCAAGGCTATGTGATACTGAGGGAGGGAACCTGCAGTAGGTCTAAATGGGTAGGCAGAATTCAGATGTGTAGAAAAGAATGATGGGTTGAGAAAGAGAACCTTGAAGAGGAAAGTTTGAAGGTATGGAGACATTCAACTGCAGATACAATATATTACAAAACACATAAAATCACATGACAAGTTGCTGTAACCTAATTGTGATGGTGTGAAGCCCACACAGAATGGTTTGAAATATCCCAAAGCAATCTTGAACACTTTCCACAATGTATTAATTTTCACCAGAGAACTCAAATTAACCCAAAATGTGAATAAGGTGTACAAGTGCTAAATGAAAAATGATTTCTCAAAAAAAACCCTTTATAAATTATATTAAAATAACAATTAAGAAATCAAGGAACATTGATATTGTATAAGAATTTCCTGTCCTTTCAAATACTACCTTTTAAAACGAATAGCAGTCAAAATATTCCACTCATAGGTTACAGAATAAAGCATCATCAAAAACAAGGGTGTGACAGACACTGTTTTCAGCCAATATTATTTTCCTTCTTCTCTCTTGACAGAATCCTGAGTTTTAGTGGGGTATACAGCTATATCTTTCTTACCTTCCCTTGGAGCTCAGTACAGCTGTGATGTATGTGTTACTTCCTCGTCGTGCCTCTATGAAAGATCACATTATGTTCTCCCTGTGCTTTCTTTCCCTCTCACTTCCTAGCAGGTAGTGCCAACTAGATGAGCACCCTGGACCCAATTATGGAAGCCGTGTACGAGCCTACTTTGGAGATATTGCTGGTTTGGTTCCAGACCACCACAATGAAGCAAGTATCACAATAAATTGAATCGTAACCTTTTTGCCAGTGGAGGGTCTGACCTTCAATTTGTAAAAAATGCAAAATCTGTAAAGCGTAATAAAGTGCAATAAAATGAGGGATGCCTGTATTCAGGTTGTCAGAATCTCCCTATTAGCCCTAGACTGCTCCCTCTACATATAGGGGGAAAAAACCTTTCATCTTATCACATCATTGTATTTTGGGTTTTCTTTGTCAGGGTAGAAGAGCTTAGCCTACACTATTAATATAAAGACATAATCGAAAAATAAGGTGCAACAAAGATCTCATAGCTCCTCAGCTTCTTCTTATCTAATGACTTTGGCTGCACTTCACTTTAAACCTAACTGAACTGTAGATCTGGGTTCAAATGCCAACTTCACCACTTTCTAGCCATGTGCCCCTGAGCAACTAACTTTAACTGAATTTCCTTATCTGTAGAGAAGATAATCATATAATCAGATAGGATTTTTAAAAATGCCTGCAAAAGCACATTATAAAAAAAAAATCTAGTTGAGACAACCATAATTTCTATGAACAGCTCCCATGACTCCACCTCCTCTAATCCCCAGAACCTGATATGAGATTACTTCCATGATTGTGTTTTGTGTTATTATACACAGCACAACTGACCTTAAAATAGTGAGATTATCCAAGTGGGCATAATCTAATCACTTGAGCCTTCTCCAGCTGGTGACAGAATAGTCAGGGACATTAAATGCATAAAAGAGAATGGAGGTGCTGTCTGGCTCTGAAGAGCAGGTGGTCCTATGGAACTGAGAAAGACCCCAACTGACAGCCAGTAAGGAAATGGGGCCCTCCATCCTACCACGGCATGGAAATGAATTGTGCCAACAACGTCAATAAGCCTGGAGGTAGAATCTTCCCTAGAGTCTCCAGAAAACAGCCCAGAACTACAGAAACCTTTATTTCAGCTTTTTGAGATGCTAATCAGAGTACCCAGCTAAACCTACCCGGACTACTGATCTGTGAAGTGATAAATTTGTGGGTTTTTACCTGTTAAGTTTGTGATAAATTGTTATGGCAGCAAGAGGAAACTGATACACATATATAGGAAAGAGAAGTTATTATCGTTGTACCTCCCTGCCGTTTAACAGACTCTACAAAACTGAAGCCAGGTTTACCAATTCAATATCTACTGTAGTCTTAACTAAGAGTTACATATTAAAAATAGAAATTATCAAATTCTTTCATGAAGAATTATTTGTTTTGAATTCTCAATCATAAAGATTAAATGAAGTACAATTCCAAAAGAATACATATATGCGTTAAGAAAATGACGACGCCAGGTTTAATTATAGTGGGTTTCCTGGAAGCAGTAAACTCAGAGTGCAAAAGAGAATCAGGAACAGTAAATTAAAAAAAAAAAAAAATGATTGTTAACATACCAGTCCCAAGATGAATTGTTTAGGACTCCCGGGAGCCTGTTGCAACAATTCTGTTTTGAGATCACAGGGGTTCTGAACTAGGCTGCTGACTGTGGAAAGGAAGAAACAAGCTTAAAAATTGCCAAGGGGC